CTTAAGATTTTTCTACCTTAGCCCATATATAGTGAGTTAACAGATAATTGTTCTATGAAAATAGGCCCATTTGAGTTCTGAGTATATTTATACAGTTAGGTCCAGAAATCTACCATACGTTTTGCTCCGTAAAACGTTTCTTTTATCCTATTTATTGACGTTTGCTACATGTAGTACAATCTTTTACGTAGGTAACTTTTAAATCTAATTTAATGCTGAATTTTCACTCATTAATTTATACGCATTAATCCTGTATTTATTCGGCTCCAAGTACCATAGCCTGTTGCCTGCTTATCCTTCATCTTCCTTCACTTTCCCAAAATGACGACTTCATAATATGTTGCTATTCAGTGCTTTGTACTCGTATTCATTCATATAAAGTAGATTTCTAAAGTTACTTTATATGAATATAAGTCACGTAATCTATTGTGGGGACGAAACACAAGTCTGTATCATGTGAAATCCTATGATAAATGTGATATGGGGGACTGGCTCTTGAAAATTCACGTCTGCACTGTGACCAAGGAGCGCTCGTGGCAGTGTGGCGTGGTATTAACCTGTCGAGACTATATGCTGCACTACCTCAACTCATTTCCCGCTGGGAATGGTGATGGGACCTAGACGAGATCAAAACTGCAGTCCAGCCTGGATGATATACTTTTTGCGAACCAAGGCTCAGTGGTATTCAATGGAAGCGTGAAGCCTACTCATACCTTTGTGGGAAAATTCAACTATCATTCCTTCATCACCTTACGCTACACGGGGTGACTTGTACTTTTAATCATTTACATTGTTTGCAAACGATCTTTAAGCATATTCTAAGTGATTAAGACTACCATTCATCTGAGCGAATTTATGTATTCTCTACTCATCATATTTTGCTCGTGAACATCTTCCCGAGTACATACCTTTTATTCTGTCTTGGTTTTGTTTTTTCATGCACTTTATTTCTTATTTTCTTGTTTTGGGACTTATAGTGAAAGTATATCTCTGCTTATCATGAGATCTTTCATATTCATATTATATATTTAAAACAAAATCATATATGTATATATACATAATCTTATAATAAAGGTTATTATAAGTTGAAGCAAAGACCCACTAATAATTTATCTTAATTATTTTCACGATATATTCAAAAACTCCGTCGTCACCTTGTGTATACTTCGTATTTAACCTCACTGAGGTCTCACCATTGCTCAAGCGGGATTCTGATGTAAGTCATATCGATTAAGAAGAAACCACGCGATTTTCAGACCATAATGGTATTTAAAGTGACAGTCATGGCTTTCAAAGCTGTTTTAATTTGATAATCAATTAGATGGAATACAACAATACATTAATCATCAAACTGTTGAGCCAGGCGAGCATGAACTGCCTTCACACTTAATCGAGGTTATTTATTACAATATAAATGGCGAAGTTACTTGAAAAAACAACCCTTAGAAGCCTTGTTCATTTTATCGTCTCTTTTTCGTTTCATTTTTCCTGATCTTTTAGGGGATCACCTGACAATAGCTAGCTATTCTATTACTGTTGGAGAATGCTTGAAGGCTGCCGACGAGCTTGCCAAAATCGGTATCAATGCTGAGGTAAGAACATACGCTGACAATATATGAATACAAGTAATTAATATGTAAGCAGTACTATATTTGACATTGACTTTTGTGTTGGCAAATTGACGTTAATGAATGATCTATTGTAGGATATTCCAATAAAGGCAGCGAGCAAATATCAGATTTAGCAACTTGGATTTTGATTTGTTTATTTAGTAATCACTATCACTTTGAACTATAGCGTGATACCATTATTTCCATATTTTTCATGTATGACAATATCTTGGTTCCTCTTGGTGTTTATTTTGAGATTTGCAAAAGGCTATTTATAAATTTGATTTCTCTTATTACCATATTTTCCGACTGCTATTCATTTAGCCAGCACCTGCTGAAGAACGATGGTGTGGAGAGCTCCTTTTAAAGAGATTTCATGAATTCTCTTCTAGTCTATTGATATTTAAATGACCTCTTGATAAGAACCTTTGATAGTCTCAAAAGCTACCCGCATCAAATAGTGTCGTGATAAAGATCAAATATGGTCTTTAGCCGAGGGCTACACAACTAAATATATTTAAAATGTTACTTTTATAGTAAAAGGACATTTCTTATACTCCATTCTAATTTGCTTTTTGACGTTTTTACAATGGATATGTGACCCCAACTAGCTTGCCAGCCTACAAGGAGGCATGATGAATAGACAACGCTAAATATCCACTTTAAATCAACCCAAGCAAGAACGGCTCGATATCAGCCCCTTAGGTACCATAGACATTATATTATTCCTCCCCCTTATTTATTTCCCTTTTAGGTTATCAACCTTCGATCTTTGCGACCTCTAGATGAGGAGACACTCTTTAATTCCGTTAAAAAAACTAAACATCTTGTAACGGCTGAGACTGCCTGGCCAACTTGCAATATTGGAGCAGAAATTTGTGCTAGGATCATGGAAAGTAAGTCTCCTAATATGACTTCCCCCGCCTCTTTATATTGCCATTACTAAAGAGTCTTTAATATTGTTATATACTCTAGTTCTAGCTCAATCGAATATGTGCGCTGTTTTATTAGTGCTGATTTGCCTTGTCATATTGGTCTAGCATTGGTCTATCTTGTTTCAACACCCATGTTTGAGATACAAATTGTAGTCATCAGTTCATCAGTCTACTCTTTTTCCCATCGATCTGGCACGTCTTTAATAAACGCAAATAGAAGACTGAAAGAATTCGATGTAATATATAGGAAAGAATTCATCCTTAGTGAAATGTTTATCAGTCACAATCCTTTACCGGGTTTAGCCCT